ACACACAAAAAATTAATGTAAAAGTATTCATACAGTGGAGTACTATGCAACTGTAAGAAAAGATTAGAAAAAGAGAGAAAGAGAGGGAGAGAGAGAGAGAAGGGAGGAAGGGAGAGAGAGAGAGAGTGAGAGAGAAGAAAAGTGCCTGACACAGAAGTAGGTGATGGTGGGGGGAGGGAAACTGGTGGTGGGAAATATACACTTGTGAAGGAACAGGTGTTGGAACATTATTTGACTGAAACTCAGTCATAAAAAACTTTGTAACTATGTATCTCACCAGGATGCAATTAGAATTTTTTAAAAGAAAGATAAAAGCTTGCACTTCACTGCAAATTGAATGGAATTGAAGAATGTCATTTTATGCAAACTAAGTGAGAGTGTAGGGGGCTGAAGAGACAGTACAGCAGGTAGTGTCTGCCTTGCACACGGTCAATCCAGATTTTGTCTCTGGCACCCCATATGGTAACCAGAGCTTTGCCAGGAATGATTCCTGAGCAAAGAGCCAGGAGTAAACCCTGAGCACTGCAGGGTGTGGCCCCCAAAACAAAAACAAATGAAAAAATCAGAGGGTGGGCCTAGTACATAGTACAGTGGGTAGGGCATTTGCCTTGCACTCAGTTTACCTGAATTCTAATCCCCAGCATCACATATGGTCTCCCAAGCACCACCAGGAATAATTCCTGAGTGCCAGAAGTAACCCCTGAGCATCACTGGGTGTGACCCAAAAAAGGAAAAAAAGGAAAAAAAAGAAAAGAAAAAGTCAGAGGGTGCAGAACAAACACTGATGATCTCACTTATCTGTGGTATGCAAATAAATAAAACAAGGGAAAAAACTATATCAAACAATGACAAACCCTAGATCTTGAGACTTCCAAGCAGTGGGGAATGGGAGGGAGGGGATGACTAAGGTGAGAGGGATGGGGGTGGGGGTCCTGGGATATTTTGGTGACGAACATCAAAACTGTAAAAGTTAAAACTTTTTCAGGTCACACCCACCACCTGGCCCCCTGGCGCCGTGTAATCCCATCAGCGGCCAAGACTCAGAGACTATAAAATCCAGCTCCCGCGCCTGGGTGTTCCTTGCCAGGGCCCCTTGGAGGGGAGCGGGTTGAGCTTTCCTCCCTGCCCCGACCAGGGCTCCGGCAGCCGAAGACCTCCAGGACCAGCCACCACCATGCTGAGACCACTCTCTGCACACATGAAGGTACTGGCAGAGGGACAAACCTAAACTTAAATTTGAAAAAGAAAAGAAAGGAAGTGATTTCCTTCCCAGCATCGGTGGGACAGCTCAAAGGCTTAGTGGGACTGTCTGACAAACCTAGATCAGTGAGCTCATTTTGTATTGTTGCATGCAGAGGGCATGTTTCAAGGGCTCTACTGTGTCTTTCTGGCAGCAACTCCTGCTACTGGAGATGATTTCCAGCTGCACTCAGCTAGGGGTGACAGCAGCACAACCAAAGGTTGCCCTCTCCTGCAAGAATTGCAGCTGAAAAAACCTATGTGAGCACCCCAGCTAGGAAGTGTGACCCCTGGCCAGCTCATGTGTGAGCACCACAGTGATATCCAATGAGCACAATCACCAGAATGTGTGTGTGTGAGCCCCACAACTACAGAGGGAGCTCCTAGTGAGCATGTGTGCAAGTGAGGAGTGTGACAACCCCATCCCATGAGCCCCACAATCTCATGTGTGATTGGTGAGCACCACAACCAGAAAATGTGTAAACACCACAGTGTGTGACACCGCCCCCCTGCACCCCTCACCTCCTTTAGTCATTGCAATAAAAATGAAGGGAAGGCGAGAAACATAATCTCCCCATCCAGCTCTGTATGCTTTGGTGTGCAACCAAATGCCTATTAGGACTGGAACAAAAGCCAAAGGTCATCTGCTCTACATATCTCCTTCCAAACAGGATGACCAAGTAAACTTTTTCTGACTCACAAATGAGCTGTTCAACAATTGTACTGAACATGCCTCTGTGCTGCTTTAAACGTTACTACCGTCACATTCTGGTTTGTGCTATTTCTCCTATTGGGACAGTCTTTCCCTCCTGTGCTTATAAATGCCACGTGTCTTTCCAGATCACCACCCAAATCTTCTAAGAAATCTTCAAATTCTATAGTCCCACATTAAAATGAGATCAAGGTCCCTGGACTTACACAAGCCTTGGCTTTTCAGATGCTATTTAACAGACAGATAATATATACTAAAAGAGTGATTTCTTAATAATTAAATGAAGAGGCTTATAAAAAATTGATCCTGGACAGAGAGCTGACTAAAGTGACAGAACACATGTCTAGCAGCAATGAGATCCTAAATTTCATCCCTGGCACCACAGAGGATCCCAAAACCTCCAGATGTGACTTGTGACCCCCAATCACTCCTGGGTTTGATTCCAATTAAAAATAAAATAAAAGCAAGGGCTGGAGAGATGACTCACGAGTCTGGAGCACATGCTTTTGCATGCAGGAGGCCTGGGTTCAATCCCCAGCACTGTAGAGGTTCTGAGCACCAAGAAGGGAGTAGCCCCCAAGCACTGTTTGGTATGGCCCCAAGAAACAAAAAACTAAACAAAAAAAGCAACTGTGAGGCTAGTGAGCCTTATCACCACATGCAGCCCAGGGCAACCCTGATAATCCCACTGTGTAGGATTCTAGGGGAAAGGCAGGGAGAAGAAGAAAGGAAAAGAAAGTAATCCAAATTAATCTTCTCTACATCACATATATCAAGGAGTAAATGCAATGGCTTAGTATTTTACCAAAGGATAATTTAAGTAGGCAATTATTCTATAAGGAAGTATTGAAATTATATTTTCCATTTATCGGAGCCAACCTCTGCAATGATGGCAGATACTAACACTGGATGTTTATAATATCATTTGGGAGTCACTTGTTTTGAGTAACTATATTTTTACATGTACCAGATGGGGCAACTAAGGGCTTCATTTCTGGGGAGAGAACATAGTGGACACTTTGCTTGGATCCATTATCAATCAACAGGATTTAGAATTGGTTGTTGGTTGACAGTCTCTCTCTCTCTCTCTCTCTCTCTCTCTCTGACATACACACACATGCACACATACACACACACAAGGACATGCACACATACACATATGCACACGCACACACACATCCAAAGGAAACATACACTCCTTTCTTTTCATTTCCACTTTTCATTACTTCTTGTTATAAAAAAGGACCACTAAATTTTATAACCTGAAAACTGATCTATTCTACCCTAGATGAAAAAATTTAACCAATAAAGGGGGGAAATGTATTTCCAAATCTTCTGTTATCTGAAGAAATCAGGGACTGGGACTCTAAAGACCTCAGACCACCTGGCTTCTGTTTCCCTTCCCTGTGCCCATACTTCCCACTTTCTACAGATCCCTCAGTCTCACCACTGAGGAACTTGGCCAGTTCCATCACACCAAATCTTCTTCTTGTCATTAACCAATTCCCATTTTCAGCACCACAACTTCTTACTTTTTATGACAATTTCACTGGCTCTTCCGTTTTTACCCTTATCTAACATCACACTTGCAAAACCACAGCTCCTTTATTTTAAGCCCTTTTGTAAGTTCCAGACTGAGTTACAGACCTAGTGAAAAAAAAGTGACTATGGTTATTTCACAATCTTATTTCCTCTAAAAAAATTGTATGCGTGGGGACAGAGTAGGGAGGGGGACTGTGTGGGGCCACACCTGACTGCTCAGGGCTTACTTCTGGTTCTGTGCTCAAGCATCACTCCTGGTGGGCTCCAGGAACCAAATGGAGTGCTGGGTATAGGCAAGGCAAGCATCCACTCTGCTGTACTATTGCTCCAGCCCCTCCCGACCTAAAATTTTAGAAATATTTTTTCTTTTTGTGCTAGGTTAAGGAGTTTTCCCTGCACATGGTCAATCTCAGTTTGATCTTGGCACTGCATCAGGTTCTCCAAGCACTTCTAGGAATGATCCTTGAGCACAATCTTTCATATGTCATGTGGTATATGATTTATAACATACCGGGAAAGGTGAGATTCTTCTTTTAATCAAGAATGTAATTCTCAAGACATAAAGCCCAGCAAATGATTATGCTTGCAAGTTCAACAGAAAAATTATCAGTATTTATTGACATACCACTGAATACCAAATTTTAGTGTGTGAGTGAGTGTGAGTGTATGTGTGTGTGTGTGTGTGTATGTATGTATGTATGTATGTTGGGGGGTTGTCTTTAGGCTGCACCCAGCTGTGCTCAGGAATCACTTCAGGCATTTCTGGAAGGCCTTATGTGATGCCAAAGATCCAACCAGGGCAGCAACATGCAAGGCAAGCGCCTTACCCACTGGTACCCAAATTTTATTCTTTTTATTAACATCCTCTCCAGCAAGAGTAGAAAATGGATTGAAGGAATCCTCTTCTTTCTTGTTCCTTTCATGGTACCCAAAGGAGGAGAGGGTCAAAGTAGAAGATAGGACAAAGAGGAGACACTGCGAGTCTAAATAAATAAAATAAAATAAATTGTTGTAGAGTACGTTATTAAACAGGTGAGACAGGAATACAGTTCAAGTATCAGAGCTCACCCTGAAGAGTGTGGTACCCATGACAAAAGAAGTAATAATAATAAAGCCAAAACACACAGGCTCTGGGTCACCAGGTCAGACTTGGCATTGCCATGCAAATTGCTATTGCACTCTAAGCCAGTCTGCGTGTGCACTGTTAACTCTGCTTAGCTTCTTCACCTAGAAAACAAATTATCTACCTCATGGGGTTGCTTTAAAGACGAAGTATGCCAAGGTTTGTAAAGCACTCAGGACAATGCTGTACACACGTCAAAAACACGTCAAAAAAATCTGTGAACTCAGCCAGATCCTCAGTCTGAAATTAATTTAGCAATCAGACCACATGGCCGACAGACAAATCTTATCAATGTTTCAGAACTCTGAAGTTCACACCTCAGCACACACAACCTGCGTCTTCTAGTGATTCAGTCACCATCACTAACTTTTTTTTCTAAGTTCACATCAGATAAGTAATGTGCCAAATGCGGAACAAGATTTAAGGGAGGCACATGTCACACAAATGTGTGAACACTGAATCATCATGCACATGAACTGGAAAGGGACCCACCATCACTGATCTTTTACTAGCACTTCACACTAGAATAGAGACCCTCCTGGCCTCTCTCTGTAACTGCGTCAGTTGCTGCCATCCTTACAATGGGGGCAGAAATGGCCTATCTAATGCTGAAGACTCAAAGTTTTGGTTTTGCCACTCAACACTGTATCCAACTGTAACCCAGGCCTCTACCACGACAAAATAAAACAGATCTTGGTATGAGACTCAAACAGGTATTATTGGTACATGTTTAATAGTGCAAAGTAAAGCTCCTGAGAGTTGATAAAACCCACTATCCTAAAACCTCTTTCCTCTGTCTTTATTTTACTCCAACCAGGCTCTTGGCTACAACAAATCTGGTCTTTCCAAGGTCACCCAAAAAATGCCACTGTGAGAACCTTGAGTAAGACCTAATCTGACCCCACCAATCTGGATTTTATATATATATAAATTTATATATATATATATATATATATATATATATCCCTAAGCACAGAGTCAGGAGTAAGCTCTGAGCACTGCAGATTGGGCCTCAAGCTGCCCTCCCTCAGATTCCCATCATGTTGCTCCTTATTCCAAAGCTTCCAATGGCTCCTTATCTTCTTCAGAAATCAAAATCTGTGTGAGAACTACAAGGCCTAGCAGAATCCAAGTCGCCCCACTCCTGTCCCATGAGTGCTCTGACCACATCACCTCCTCCTCTGCCCATGCTAACTCCTCTCACTCACCACAGGCATCCTGGAGGTTCAATGCCTCTACACCAAACACATCTTCTTCCTGGAACACCCAGGACATTTTCCAGAACCCCTTCCCTGGAGTTTCATAAACTCACAGGAGTCTCGCCACCCCCACTTAGCTTCTCCAAAGTCTTTAGGTAAAAGCTTCCCCTCAAAATGCTTCCTGAAATGGTAAACGATACCTGCCGAGCATGCCTGCTCTTACTTCCCTACTTCATTTGCCCCCAGGAGACTCACTATCTTATAAAGTTTATAACAAAACACATTACAAATTGTTGTTTACCCCAGGCCAGAGAGACAGCACAGTGGGTAGGGTACTTGCCTTGCATGTGACCCAGCCTAGTTTATTCCCTTTACCTCATATGGCCCTGGAGCACTGCTAGAAATAATTCCTGAGTACAGAGTCAGGAGTAATCCCTGAGCATAATTGGATTTACCCCCTGCCCATTCCAAAATAAACCCCCTCCCCCCAAAATAAATGGTGTGCCCTCCACTGGAAGACTTTGTTTTGTCTTCACGTGCGAGTGTTAAGTTCCAGGCAACTGAGAATTTTTGTCCCTCGTCATTCACTGTTGTATGCCCTCCCCACGGAAGGTCTCGTATAAAGCATGCACTGCTAAATTCTCCAGCAGTATCTGCAGAGTGAAAAGGAACAAAGGTTCAGGTGGTTACTCTTACCTAGGACAGTCATCACGGTCTTCATTAGCTTCATGGGTGTCTTTCGGCGGCTGATGGACCCACTCACATGTGGAGACAAGACATTGGTTTTCCTCTTGACATACATGTAGATCCGCAGGTACACTGCAACCATGATGGAAAAGGCCACCAGGTTGGATACAGTCCAGAAAATGAGGTAACTCCTGCTGTAAATGGGGGCCAGGGATGAGCAGGTGGAGATATCACAAAGGCAATTCCAGCCCAGTGTGGGCACTGCCCCCATAAAGATGGCAATGGCCCAGATGGACAAAATGAGCAGCGTCACCCTCTTTTTGGTCAGGTTGCTGTGGACCCGCATGCGCATTATGGACATGTGGCGCTCCACAGCTATGACCAGCAGGTTGGTCAGGGAGGCGGTTAAGCTAGTGTCCAGGAGTCCCTGGCGGAGAAACCAACGGTTGACAGTCAGCGTTTTGGAAACCGGGCCAGTGTTAAACATCAGGAATACATAGGCGATTCCAGCAAAGAAATCTGCAGCAGCCAGGTTAGCCAACAGGTAGTAGAAGGGGAAGTGAAACTTTCTGTTTTTGATCACCGCCGCGATGACCAGAGAATTGGAAAAAAAAATGAACAAGCAGAAAAACGTGCCAAAGCACAAGACAATCACAAGCTTTGTTCCTGTCCATTCATCGGCAGTGACTGTGTTGCTCCTGTTATAAAAATAGTCCATCTGCTTATCGTAGTGACACTCATTCATGGTGGAGAAGGACAGAACATCCTAGAAAAAAAAATTTTTAAAGAAACAAAAATTACTCTTTGCAAAAAAAGCAGCTATTAAAGGACCAACTGCCACTGCTAAGCCCCTAGTTCCCTCCAGCTCCTGTCAATCTTTCTGCCTCTGTGTAAATATCCCTTATTCCAGGACCCAATTCCTTCCTAACACTGCATGTACCTCACATTGCAACTGCCGTGCTTGAGACAGGATAACTGGAAATTTCAGTTAGAGAGGACCTGCATCTATTTTGTCCAGCATGACACCACCATGACCCCCTTGGTGCTCTGTTAAAGGGTACATTTTGGGGGCTGGAGCAATAGCACAGCTGGTAGGGTAGGGCGTTTGCTTTGCACGTGGCCAACCTGGGTTCGATTCCCAGCATCCCCTGGGAATAGTCCCCTGAGCACTACCAGGAGTAATTTCTGAGTGCAGAGCCAGGAGTAACCCCTGTTCAGTGCCGGGTGTGACCCAAAAAGAAAAAAAAAAGGTACACTTTGACAGATATTTGCTGAATGGCTGGTGGGTTAGTTGAATGAATAAATGAATGACATATAGTGAACGTAGCAAAAGTCAAATATTCTTGACCTCACTGCCATCTCCACTTTGCACTGGTAACAATTATGATGACTCATATTAAAGCTTTTTCCTAGTGTTTTCCAGGAAGAAATTGACTCATTTCTTGTTGATGGGACACATTCCCGAATCAAGGGCAGTTTGGTAACCAAGCCAGGAACATTCTTGTCAAGATAATAGGGTTTGAATTACTCTTCAGTAACCAAATGACTTTCCCTAGAGATCAATTTCCACCTTTCCAGATTCCACTCCTGAACCTCAAGGTACACTTGTTAATGGTAACACTCACGCGTTAATAAGAATGTAGTGCTTGGCAGGAGACTTTCACCTCAATTCCCCCCTCTGTGTTTTTTTGTTTACTTCATCCTTATGGTCTCCTGATCTGAACTATATCAGTGCGGTTTTGTATATTAAATTTCCCAACTCTGCCACTTCAAGTCAATTTCCTTCCACCACTCACTATGGCTCCAACACAGTAGGTGGTGGGAAAGAGTGAGATGTTTCAGTTATACAATGATAAAGTACCCATCCTTCCACCAGTGCCCATTCTTCACCACCAATGATCCCAGTAGCCCTCCCATACCCCCACCCCATTCCCCCAGCCCACCCCCATCTCTGTGGCAGGGCATTCCCTTTTGCTCACTCTTTCCTTTAGGGTGTTGTAGTTTGCAATACTGAGTGGCCATCTATAGTCTACTTCTCCATCTATAGTCTACTTCTAGCATGCATCTCACATCCCAAGCGAGTTCTCCAAACATCCTTTACTTGGTGTTCCCTTCTCTATCTGAGCTGCCTTTTCCCCCAGGGGGAGATTAATTTTAAGGTTCTTTACACACTCTGCAAAGTAGATCAGATATCAATTTGAAGCTGTTTTAAGTAAAAACGTATCATTTTTTCCTAATTTGTATTTTAGTGATAGGATGATACTTTCAAATGGATTATATCATTTCTTCTCTGCCATTACAAATAGAAGGTAAAATTTGATAATATCATTTGGTAATGCTTATGATAAACTAAAAGCGGTCTCAAGAGACAAATAGTTCTAGTGCCTTTCAATTATAAGGAAGAGAACTCAATTTTAATAATGACAAAACAAAATTTACTTTCTTTGGCAAATACTCACTGATATTAGATAATTCTATATGGGAGATCAATATATCTATACTAAAAGATAATTTTCCAATTAAAAATAGAGATGATTTTGATAGTGTCATAATATGACAGTATATGAATATACTACACAACCCCTAAATCTTGAGAATTTAGATTATTTCAAATATTTTCATTTTACTTTTATGTTTTGGGGGGCTACACCTGATAGTGCTAAGGCCACTATAGTTTCATGCTTGTAGTTCACTTCTGGAGGTGCTGGGGAACCACCTGGAGTTGAGGGAGTGCACTCTGGACTCTTTTTCACAAATCTCAGTGGACACTCAGCCCACTGAGTTGTCCATCTGACTCCAATATTTTGCTCTTATAAGTAAGGTTACATTCTGTTGGGTTGTAATCTTTTCACCTTTCCTTAGGATTAATTCATAGATTTAAAACTAAAAGATATAAAGTGTATTTAAATGGTTTATACATATAATTAAACCATAATTAAGACAACATACTTTGAATACCACTGACAGTTGATGAGAGTTAAATAAAACATACCAATGTAGTGAAAATAAATTTAAATAATTAAGGCAAAAACTCAGCTTTTTATAGAATCCAAAGTAGATAAAAATGCAAGACAATACAAGACCATGTGAGAAATTCTAGTTCTGCAATTATTATCCTTTCTTCTACTATTAAAAGTTTTCATGCATTTTATTCTGCTATTTGCTTTATTTGGGCCACACATAACTGTGCTCAGGGCTTACTCCAGGCTCATTGCTCAGGGATCATTCCTGGTGGACTCAGAAAGCCATAAGAGGTTCTGGGAATTGAACCCAGGTCTGCCACAGGGAAGACAAGTGACTTGTTGGCTTACACTATCTCTCTGGCCTAATTTTGTTATATGTTTTAGATTGCTATTATTTCTATTAAAACATATTTCTATCTTATTAGTTTGTTATCTGTGATAAATTCATCAGCAGCATTAAAATGAATAGGTAAGAAATATGTCATTAACAGACTACAAAAATTATCACAATTTTCCTAATTTTTTGAAGATGTCTTAATTTTTTAAAATTTATGCTCACAAATTTGGATGAATGTATAATTATGATGCCCTAAAACCTCAATGATTTTTACTTCAAAAACTTGAAATTCAACTTGTCCCCCATCAAAACCAAAATGGTACATTTTTGTACATATTTTAACAGAAAATGTTCTGAGACTGAAAAGTTGTTTTATCTTACAAAGTTGAGAAACCACAGAAAAACCATGATTGACCAGAACTCCCACCACACCATCCCCAGCGTCCTAACCACAAAGACTACTTTGGGAGGAATAGACAATGCAACCAAAAAAAATTCACATAAGAAATCAGTAAGAGAGATTCCACAGAACATAATAGTCTGCAGCAACTGAAATTCATGTTTATTAAAGGTTACAGTAATATCAAAATTAGCTGTACAACTATTTTAACTACAAATAATTACAAAAATGTGCACCTTAAATATTTTTTAAAACTATAGGGAAAAAATCTTAAAACATAAATAGCTAATTTGAAATGGTAGAACTGCAGGTTACTTTTTAAAAAATTCTTTCCAATATTTTTATGTGCAACTTCTGAAATAAATTAATTTTTAAATGTTACAGATTTTGTCTTAGGAATACATATTCTACTTAATATATTCAACCTTTCTTTAACAACTATAGCCTGAAAAATCAAAACTAATGTTCGAAAGTAAAGCCACAAGGATTTGCTTCACTTATTATTATTATGTTACCAACATAGCACACTTTAGAAGTTTAAGTAAAAATGCAATTGAAGTGGTTTTCTATTCAACTTAAATCTTTGTACTACTATAAAATCTTCCATGCTGACAACTAAGTACATCAGCATGACACATTTCACCTCTGTCCTATAAGACACTTCCTAATGCAACTATCCCAGGCTTCAAAATGAACAGGAAGTTCTGTGACTTCACTGATTCTGATTTTTTTTTCCCTCCTCTGCCTCCACACAATGCCAATCTTGTTAACAGTTCCCAGGACATGGTTTACTACAGAGCAACACATTTTCTTAGCTGGAAGACACCAAAATTTTTAGTGAGTTTATAACAAATGACAAATTTATTTTCTTAAAGTGGAATTATTTAATCCTAACCTAAATATTTCCTCCAGATACATACGTTCTCTGATCAACCCAAAGTAATCTTAGAACGGTCACTATAAAAGCCCTATTTATTATCATGTATTGCTGTTCAATACATGCTGCTTTTATGCTTACTTTTTTTTTTGTTGAATCACAATGAGATACAGTTACAAAGCTGTCATGCTTGAGCTTCAGCCATATAATGATCGAACACCCATCCCTCCATCAGTGCACATTTTTACCACCAATGTCCCCAGTATCCAAACCCCATCCTAGCCCTGCTCCGGCCTCTATGGCAGGCAATTTCCCCCATACCCTCTCTCTAATTTTGGGCATTATGATTTGCAATGTAGATACTGAGAGGCGATCATGTTTGGTCCTTTATCTACTTTCAGCACACATCTCCCATCCTGAATGATCCCTCCAACCATCATTGATTTAGTGATCCCTTCTCTATTCCAGCTGTCTTCTCCCCCAGCTCATGAGACAGACTTCCAACCAAGGAGCAAAATTCCTGGCCCTTGTGTCTACTGTCCTTAGATGCCAGTCTCATATTATGTTATTTTATATTCCACAAATGAGTACAATCATTCTATGTCTGTCCCTCCCTTTCTGATTCATTTCACTTATGCTTACATTTTATAATCTGTCCCCCTCCAGTAGACTTTACTTCTCAAGTAGAGCAGTTACCTAGACTTTTATGTTCATGTCTAAAGCATCATCATTTGTGGAATCAATTCTCTTACAGTATCTCTTCCCCTACAGAAACAAAAAGATTGCCTTAAATGATTTCCACATCACCTACTTGACATAAAAATTACCGAAATTCTTTACTTCCTAACTGTGTGCTTTTATCAGTGACCCATTATTTCCATTTCATTATTACCATCTTTAATTGCTAATATTGCAGTGGTTATTGTGTGCCAGAATAAGAATTTCATCTGCATCATCTTGTTTAATCCTCCCCAAAGTGAGGGAGATCCTCTGATTACACTCATGCCACAATTAAGGAAACTGAAGCAGTCTTCTCTAAGGATACATTAGTAATAGGTGGAAGATCACTGGTTCTGTTCAGGCCACTATTCCCTCTTGATAGTCTACTACATTCTGTTTTCTCTCCAAGAACTGTAAATCATGCTTACAATTACCAAATCAGTTTGGATACAATCAAGTCACCTTCAAG